ATATTATTAAAAAAAAAAAAAAAGAGGGAAAATTTTTTTTAAAAAGATTTTTCCAAAAAATTAAAATCTGAAATTGATTTAAATTGAATTTGATTAATTAAATTAAATTTTGAATTAAATTGGTCGGGAAGGAAAAACAAATTAAAATCATTTGGCTTTCCTTTTTTTTTTTTGAATAAATTAAGCAAAAATATTTTCTCAATTTAAGTGAATAAGTTTTCTAATTCCCGATGGAATACAACATACATTATTGATTAACAGTCAAATATACCGTATTGATTTTTTTCCCCGTAAATGCAAAAGTCATTATCATTATTTAGCATGTTTATCACTTAGCTTGTTAATTATTATTAAGTTTTGGTAAATTTTTATTAATTTTTTTCACTTGGTTAATTTTTTTTTTTTGGAACTTTTATTTTTAAACATATGAAATTTATGTAATTTCCAAAATATGCATCAAAATTGGTGAAAGCGTTTTTTTTTATTTTAAATTAGAATTTAAAGAATTATCCGCTTATCAATCTTTTGACCTTTGAACTAAAATTGATTAATTTCTCTCCGATGCATAAAATGAAATATGAAATTTATAGAAATACTTATCTTGAAGTTTTTTTTTTTCGATTTTTATTTCCATACAATTTAGCCGTTTGATTGTACAACATCATTTGACAGTACTGAATATGTATAAATTTATGCAAATTAGCAAGAATATAGAAATGAGTGTATTCGATTGTTACAAATATTATTTGAGAAATTAGCAGGGATAATTCTATTGAGAAATACCGGGAGAAATTGATTTTTATTCCAATCATTTCATTTATTTTCATCATTACTGTAATTATTATTATCGCAATTGATTATAATTTATCGTATTTTTAGCAAGAATTTTAATTTTCATAAATAATTTCAACAAATTTTATTTTTGATTTTTAATTTGAAATTTGAGTTTATTTAAGAAAAAAAATTGAATCGATTGTATGTTAATTTACTTGGAAACATTTTCATTTTTTTTCTATCTATCATTATATATATATATATGTGTGTATGTGTCTGTGTGTGTATGTGTGTATGTGTCTGTATGTGTGTATGCATATGTATGTATGTGTGTGTGTGTGTATGTATGTATGTATTTCTAATGTATACTTTTTCATCTGCCTCTCATATTTTACCGATATATTTCATAAATTATAATTTTAATAAAAATTATACAAATTCTTTTTTTTTCTTTTTTGAATTTATTTCTTTTAAAAATTGACAAATTTCTTTTTTGTAATCTTCGAAATTTTAACTAAATTTTTAATTTTTTGTTTATCATTTTCTGATAAAAGAACACCGTTTATGAAAAAGAAGCAAATCAACACACACACATATACAAACATACACATACATACAAATACACACATACGCATACATACACATACACCATACATACGCATGCATACACATACATATACATACACGTATATTATGCATACACTTACATACACGTATACATACATATACATATATATACACGCACCATATACATAATACACACATATATACACATGCATACACATACATGCAAATACACACATACACATACATACACATAAATACACATACACATACAAACACACATACATATACATATATGTACACATACATATACATATATATGTACATATACACATACACATACATACACATATACATACATACACGTACACCACACATACACCTACATACACGTATATCATCCATACACTTACATACACGTACACATATATATACATACACATATGCATACACATATACACACATCCATATGCACATATATACACATATATATATATATATATATATATATATACATACACATACCCACACACATATACACACATCTGGTGTAAATTGATAATTATAAGAATGTGATTGGATTTTGTAAGCCTATCTATCATGTCATTGTATGTGTGTGTGTATGTGTCTGTGTATGTATGTGTATGTGTGTATGTGTTTGTACTATTTTCTCCCGCTTTTCACACATTCCCGATTAATCTCATAAATTATACTTTTTAACGATATTGTCGATTATACTGTTGTTGTCAAATAGAGAGGACAAAGAAGAAGAATGTAAGAGTGAAAAGGAAATGTAACGCCCATAACCATCCACTACCACCTATCATCATTATCACTACCACTAACACCACCATCACTAATATGTCGGAAATGATTTTTGAGAATACGGTATCCCGAAATTTATTTTAAACTTTATGCGTTTATGGTACCATTGTCTTATGGTATCATTCACTTATGGTATTATATTATTACCATTTATAAGTTAGGGTTGTCTAATTCATTCTAATACAATCATTGCTTTTTTTATATTAAAAAAAAAAAATGAAATAGAGAAATAGGCTTATTTAAATTTAAATAATTTTAAAAAGGAAGGATAAGAAATTTTTGCTGAAAATATTTGAATTCGTGAAAAAACTGAAAAATTTTTTCCACCAAAAAAGAAAAATATTTTTGATTTTTTTTTTGAAAAAGTAATTAATTACTTTATTTATTTAATATATATATTCGCTTGCATAATTTTTGTTAAATAAATTTAAATATGAATTAATAATTTCGATTGGATAATATTGAAAAAGGATGTAAGAATTATATGAAAATACAAATCCGAAATTAACCAAACTAACCAGGATGCTTTCACTTTTTTTTAATTTGTCATTTAAAATGAATTTGCATCAAATTTAATTGGAATATTCATGAATTTCAATACTTAAAAATGTCAAATTTAATTGGAATGTTCATGAATTTGAATACTTAAAAATGTTTAAATATATTTTAGGATTATTTTTCTTTTCGTTTATTTCATCCGAATATTACAAATGGTTATTTATAAAAGGAAATAATTGTAAAATTAAAAAAAAAAAATCATAATTCTATTTTCTATTGAAGAAAAACGTCGTGTTTTTTAATATGTAAAAACAAAGGAAATATTATTTTCAGGTTAATCAGGACGGAACCAAATTCAGGCAAATACTGGATCAGTTTAGCATACATTCCGGCGAAGTACCAATGACTTCACCGTTTACATTCCCACAAGCAGTATCATTTCCTATCGAAAGATTCAAATTTTTTATTCCACCATCGTATATTTTTCCACCACCAATTCCGCCTCATTACTTTAGTGGCACACTTTTTAGACCAATACAATTTCCACAATTTAATGCTTTAAATAATCGTAAGTTATTAATTTCACTTTTCTTTTTTCTCTTTCTAAAAAATATATTAAATTTTTTAAATGTACGATATTATTTAGAATAAATACAGTAATTACTATAATTTACTTATACATAAATTTGTTTTTAAAATTTGAAAATAGTAATTATTAATTTTTGTATCAAATTCCCATTCATACGTATTTCATTTTATTTAATTTTAAAATTTTCACAGTGTAATTTGTTATAATTTGTTAGTAATTTTGATTTTATATTTCTATATTTTGACTAATTTTTCCAAAAAAAAAAAAAATTTTTTTAGAATTTTAATCGGTTACAGTAGAAAAATGACACATACATTTAATTATTTAAATCAATTATTACTTTTAGTAGTATTATCCAAATTTTTGTCAAGTTATAGTAAATTAGCATAAGATTAGCATAAGATAATAAATTAGCAATAAGAATAAGCAAACGATTAAAATAATATAAAACATATTTTTTTGGAGAAAAAAAACTTTTTTATTAAAATTTATTTTGTTTAAAAAAAAAAGAAATAAAAGCTAAAATTTAAATGAGTAAATATGCATAAAAATATTGGAAAAGTTATAAAATCAAAATGGATTTTCTTTTTTTTTTTTGCTGGCGAAAAAAAAGAAAGTGAGAAAAGAATGTTAGAAGTTTCATCAGGATAAAATGTCAAGTATTTGTTAAGTACTACTGTAACGACAATTTAGTCTAACTAATCGACGTGGATTAGTTCTGGTTATCTGTCACTACTAAAGACTATTTGATAATAATCGCCAGATTTATGAATATCATCAAATAGTTGTTTTTCTTGTAACATAAATAATTGATATTATTCATTATTAATATTAGGGATACAATAAGTGTCACCTAAATAAGATGTCATATGTGAAATGAATATGTTATAATTTTCAGTAATATATAACTTTTGTGATTTTCAATAATCTATTAGCTATGATAATAGATAAAATATGTTCACGTAATCATTCTAAATTATACAACAAATAGTGCAAGAAAATTAATAGATATTTAATAATTAATAAAACTTCAATAATAGAAATATATAAATGATTGATTACAATATGTTTTTGATGTAATTTATGTAAATATATAATGGATATATTTATACAATCATTCTCTAAAACGTACGTCAAATTGTACGAGAAAAATCATCACGTAAAATTTATAATTTATATAAAAACTAAAAAGAAAAACTATCACGTCAAATTTATAATTTTTCTAATAAATTATCATGTAAATTTTGTAAATTTTTTTGTAACTTTTCACGTTAATTTTATGATTTGATGAAATTATTACGTGAAATTTATTATTTTTGCTATCAATTTAGCACATAATGAACATGAACTCATAAAAACGTCTAAGTAAACAAATTTATGATTTGTCATATTCCACGTTAATACTACTAAATATTACGTTAATACTACTAAATTATCAAATTC